TTATTCAAGAATTAGGAGATTTTGAGCTTATCATGGAAAGACCTGTAAACTTTAGGCATAAAGTAAACCCAAAATATGAGACTGAAGACCATCCAGTCTTTGTACCACTTGGAAGCTTATATTCAAAAGGTTAGATTTTGGAAGTGCCCATCCTTTGGCTCCAGGTATCAAGTTCAGAGGACAGTGGAGCCTCTAGAGAGCGAGAACTTTGGAAAACACATAGGCCATCTCAGCCTGGAGTTAGATAAAATTGGTCTTTTCTTTAATGGTAAAAATGTAGTTTGACACAAGCGGGAGCCAGGCCCCGACTCCGGCCCCTGGGAAGCGGCCTGACCGCGGGCCCTGCCCCAGAAGGGGCTTCAGTAGGTAGCCGCCGACTCGGTACCCTTCGGTGACTAAAGCGTGGCTGAGACCGATTTCTTCTTTGCTGCTGTATCTCCAAGAAGTTAGTGACATTTAGGGGGCAGGGGGAAAAAAATTAACGACATTTAACTTTCCACTAGAACAAGTAAGACTATTCACCAAAGGACTCGGACAGGTCTCAGCTCCAGGGATGAAAGGCGCCAATGAATCAGGCTCAGGACCACGAAGTCTAAGCTACTGTCCCACCCCTGTCTTGCCCGCTTCTCTCACCTGACTTGGAAGGACTAAAGCAATCCATTCACTTCCAAAGAACTGGTGGGATTTGTTGAAATCTTACCTTCGGTGGCAGAGTGAGGAGGGGCGGCAGGAAGGCCCAGACTCTGAGAGCCCGAGCTCAGCTTACAGGAGATCGTGTGGCCCGGCGGTGCGCGGTCGTGGGTGCGGGCGGGGCCTGCGGTGCGCGGTCGTGGGTGCGGGCGGGGCCGGTGGTGCGCAGGGGGCGGTGGGGGCAAGGCTGCCGCTCCTCTGGAGTCTGGAGGGATCCTGGAAATGGGACAGCCGCTCCCGTCTTGTAGCGGATTACAAAGCTCAGGTCATCAAACACAAACTTCTGTTCTCCGGAAAATTCCAGAGTGGAACCTCTCGACTTAAAAATTACTGTTAACAACGTTGTTCAAAGATTCCAGATTTGGGAAATAATCTTGTACCCTACAGTTAATTACTTGCATTTTAAAATGTTTCTTTGATCCCGTGGACATGCCCAACTGTATCAGGCTTGTTTCCTACCTGATACGATTCCACTTTAAAATGTAAAATTTTTAATTAGAATTGAGGGAATAAAAATTACTCAAATTTTGAAAGACTGGTTCAAAACCAAAACATTTGAACGACAAAGGTCAACCTCATGTTTCATCTGAAACTGGGGAGAAGGCGGAGAAGGCATAATCACGAGCCGGGCTGAGGAGGGTGAGTTGAGGTAAGCGTAACTCATCATAGGTGGAGAATCTAGGCCAGAACAGCGCACTCGGACCCCTTTCTACAGAAGTCGTGAGCGCTGCCCGCACGTGGCCTTTTCCTCTGTCTTCCCACAGTCGGCAGCTACCAGAAAATGTTTCTAAGAGGCTTCCTCTGAGGAAGGCTAAAGTAGAAGTCTCCATATAACCTGGACCAATCCAGTGACTAAGTATCTACTATGTGTCCTTTTGAATTTACCAGATCAGAATAAATGGCATTAAATAAATATCCAAATGAGAAGGTTATGGAGGGGAAAGTGTCAGGTGGTGACACTGGGGATGAAAGGAGGTGGGAGAAGCCTGCTAGCCAGAGGGGGAGGAGGAGGAGGGTTGGGGAGGCGGGGAGGCACAGGGTCCCACGGGGGAGTTTGGCGCTCTGGGTCCAAAGGGCCGGGATGGGCTTTGGCATCTGCTACCACTTGCCCAGGATAGCTCGGCGGGGCTCTCTCCGGATCTCTCCGCCTGCACTGTTTCCTGAGGGTCCTGTTTATGCCGAGTGTGTGTTCTACAGCGGTCTGTTGGGCCACAGCTCTTGGACACCAGGACAAACAGGCTGATCTGGGATTTGGCGATGCCGTGTTTCTTCTCCGCACAGCGTCCATCATAAAGCTGGGCTGCTGTAAAGGCCACGGCCCACGCCGCCCCCCCCCCCCCCCCGTTAGCGTAGCAGAGGGCATCCAGTAGGAGGAAGACATGCTGTTTTGTTTGCACTAAAATTGTACAATTTCCACTCTCGTGAGGTCCTATGAACTTGAGGTGATAAAAGGCATTAAACCACAGGAAAAACACTGCAACAGGTGATAGGGAGAGTTAATAAAATCCTAAGAAAAACTTAACATGGTGAAATGTCGCTTAGAAGAGCTATCCTTTGCTATCTTTAAAGCATCTTTCACACCGGGAAGAGTCCTGAGGATCTGGGAAGAGAAAATGGATCTGCCCTCCCTCTCTCTTCTGGCAGCCCTCATGCCTGGGGGGACTTTCATAGCCTCAGACAGAGGCTGAGTGCTCATATATTGCAAAGATAGCATTATTAAGAATTTGGAAACTGCACTTTCTGGGAAGGTTCTAAATATAAGTGTTCTAGTCCTTTAATTTTAGGGTGTGTGGAATACTTGAGAAGAAAGCTGCTTGGGTTTGTAGTTAGAAATCTGTGACAGGGTGCCTGGCTGGCTCAGTCGGTAGAACATGTGACTCTTGATCTCGGGGTTGTGAGTTCAAGCCCCATGTTGGGTGTAGAGATTACTTAAAAAGAAAAAAGAACTTTGATCGAGATAAACCGCATTCCCCCCACCCCAAGCAAACCCCTTTTAAAGACTTTTACAGAAATGTGCAAATTATGGTATAAAAACCAAAGGCTTCAAACAAAGCCAATTTAAATACTAGATTTTAATAGTATTGAAACCGAAGAACTGTCCACTGAAAGTCCTAGCTGTGCTAGGACTTTTGGGGTTAAGAGGTTTTAACCATTTCTGCTTTTCGTGCTCGGACTTTCCTTCAGCTCCACACACACGGGCCGCCCTCCCGTCACCCCAGCTCCGGACTACATGCAAAGCCAAGTTGGAAGGTAGACTTCTCATGAATCGAAAGCAAGAAAATACTGATTTGACCATAAATATTTTTATTAAATGTGAAAATACACGGGCATAAAAATAGTACCCATATTTGCAGACATATCTGAGATCCATTTCAATTAATTTTCAGTTTCTTTTTTTATTAAAACACTAAATTGAGATGGATTAAATTAGTCTTGTCTCAGAACCAGCAATAGCCTTACAGTAGGAGTAGTTTTAACTGCTCAAACATCTCCACGTCTTCCCTCCTCCAACTGCTTTCCGCTGCAGGCAAGAGGTCACCGCGGATGAGTGCAACACCTGTCAACTATACATAAAGCCACGCGGTGGCTAACTGTTCTCTTAAATCATTCAGCAAATGAGATCATCCATGAAAAAAAAGTCCCCACCTATTAATATCTTTTGCAATTGCAGAACAGACTCTGCTACTAACAAAAGGAATGATCTGATTTAGAATAAGGATAGTATTTGTTAACAAATTAGCATTTGCCTTCCTCCTTCCTTTATAAATATGGGAAAGTCTACTACATTCAATGAAGTTGCATGAATTTCTCCAGGTCACACCACGCACGGTACTCAGAGCCTTTGCAGGGCCCATTGCTGGCACCCTGTGCTTGAAGGCAGGCAGCTCTGACCCAACCTGAGGAACCGGTTTCAACGTAAGCCATCTTATTATGCATTTTTTCCATAGTAAATGTCACAACTTCTGGCCAATTTCATGCCTTTAAAGTGAAATCTTCCATTTTCCACCATGAATAGGAAATGCTGCCAATTTCAAATTGTGATTCTATTAACTTTTTTCATACTTGGTTATCAGTATTTTCCCCTTAAAAAAAAAAAAACTATGGGGAGTTTTTACATTCCATTATCAGAGTCCCAAAAAGTCGTTTTCATACTGGTATTTAAGATAAATTTTTAATACTGACTAAAGATATTTTAAAGTTAGCATTACATCCATCCAATTCACAGTAGTAAACTATTAGTTTTCGTTTTCAAGTTTTCATTTATCCATGCTAAGAAAGCACAGTTTCAAAAATGGGCAATAAATTTATTCTTTTTAGAATCGTCTCGTGTTTACAGGCTGATGTGTTTAATACTTGCTGCTGTGGAAAATATCCACAATATACAGACAAGGGCTCCTTCATTTCAGGAGCTTCCCAAAAAGGGAGGAAGGAGTTTAAGACAGGAGTCTAATAAGCTAAGGCTGGGCAGCCCTGTGATTCTACTTTTCCGGAAACAGCCACAGGCCCCGAAACAAGAGCCAGGAGACGGGCAAGTAGAAGGAAGCCGCGAACAGGTCAAACGCTCAGTCCCGAGCTCTCCGGGGCGTGAGGACGCCGCCCCGCAGGCCGGCGGGACGCAGCTTCTGTCGGCGGCGCGTCAAGGCGGGGCGCAGTCACAGGCCGCACTGTCCTCGGGGGTCTCTGGGGCGCTGGCCCTTGGCCCCGTCGCTCCTCTCTCTCCACTGAAGACCAGCAAGTAGCTGCGCATTTCAGTTACGGTGACTAAACTGAACCCACGGTAGAATTTCAGGAACGGGACTTACAGTTACCGCCAGTGTGGACAGAGCCCGCCAACAGCCGTGTGGGCAGCACCCGGGCGCGTCGCCCCCCGGCCAGCCCGCCACCGTCCTGACCCCCTCCGGCTCCTTGGGGCGGCTTCTCGTCTTCTCTGAGCGGAAAGGCAAGTGATTTCCTATTTCCTCGGTCTGATTCTGTGTGAAAGTTCTTACTTTAAAAGTAGGTAGAGGCCATTGCTAGATCGCAAAACGGTCACAGTGACCTCATGTACCAAAGAACCAGACTGGCAAACAGTGCTGATCTAATGCAGTCGTGAGCTTACGAAGATGAAAGAATAAACAAAACGGAATTTCCCTTGGAAATCCCTTCAGCACTGACTTGAATTCTGAGACCTTAAAACGAAAGGAAAGCTGCGAACTATTCACTAATTTTCAAAATGCATTAAGTTTATTGGTAAGAAACAGACTTCTAAATAGATGCAAAAAGCACACAGGTGTTTTGCTCAGCTCAACTATGTGATTTTTGCCCCTCCATTTAAGGAAATCTCCCCGTCTGTTTCAGGATGACTGCGGAAGGAAAGGCCCTGTACTTGGCTGCTATGGTCAGGACACCTCCCGCCATTAAAATTAAAATGCCTGATTTCATAAAAACAACATATTAGACCCATACTCATCAAAATGCTCTGAGGCCAAAACAAAAACCTTTCCAGAATGAAGGTAGTAATTCTTATCTAAAGTAATTAGAGTTTAAATGCAGCATCAATAGTTCCATAAATATTTAATGTTCTTGATTAAAGTAACACTCAGTTTTTAGGGAAAAAATTATCCAGTATACAAAGACTGAATAAGTTCATTTCTTAAAAGGTTTAAGAAGGTATCCCAAGAAGAGAGCCATCGCGATGGTGGAAATATAGCCAGAGCTGACTAGATCTGTAAACGTGTATTTTTTTTCTAGGCAGGAGAACATCCAGAGGCATCAGGGTCGGGTCAAGAGGCAGGTCTCCTGTCTCACGCCCGCCTCAGACAGTACCACATGGGGGGGTGAGGGGACTACAGTTCAAGAGGGTCGGTCAGGATGGACGAGAAGCTGCCCCACTGCCTTTATTAAAAATGGGGAACATGGCATTCTCTGTCAACTGAGCAACTTTACATTTCTAAGGCAGTCCTGTTACAGGAAATTCTAACTCACAACTTCAGTTCTTAAAGTATTACATTCTGCACTTCAAGCTTATTTTAAGTGACACCACTGCTCTATTATCTGAACCGGTGTTACATATTCTCTTTTAATTTGTTTCACGTTATTAAACAAAAGGGCCCATATGTTTTTACGGTTAATTCTATGTCTGTGGTCTTCTGTGTTCTCTTGAACGTACCAGACATAAAATACATGCTCCACATCCATCCAGACTCTGCTCACGCCAGCAGAGAGAGGGAAACGCATGTGGACTGGCCGAGGCTCTGTAATTTAACAGGTATTGGCAAGCAACTGGACTGAGCAGAACCTAAGCAAAGGTGTCCCTAAGAACGTACAACTCAAAATGTTGATATTCTCTTTAAGAATCCTAAAACACAGCCCCTTCTCATGAGGCTCCTGGCTCCTTCTTACCCACGCGGGCACTGCTGCCCTCTGCAAGGCCGGGAAGAAGAGTCTCGGCGGGCTCCAGTGCGGGCACATGCGGGAGCCCTGCCGCAGGTGCGCTCCCGCAGACCGTTCTTCCAGGCCCTCCAAACACTTACAGGCGCTGCTTTGTCAGAGATAGACCTGGTCTTCGCCTCCCTGCCTCCATGGACCCATCAACCTCCAGTCTAAAAGGGATAGAACGATTTTTCCTATTAAAACAACTCTTTGGTCATGGACAAACTAAAAGATTTGAATTTTTTTTTTCATTAGGATCCTGGAACAAGGTTTCTTTGTATTTAATCTTTAAAAAACTTAAGGAAGAAGAGCAGAAAAACAGCTGGTTTAATTGAAGTGGAATTTAAATCTAAAAGGTCCGCCTGAGCTGAAGGGATTGAACCCCTGCCATGAGTTCCAGCTCCTGTGGAAAGGGCTGCCACCACCTCCTTGTTGGCTCTCTGCATCCAGCGGATCTTCTCCGTCATCAAACTTCTTCCTCATTTCTAGGAACGAAAGGAGCAAATTAAGACCCAGGTATTCACTAAGCACGGGGAGGGGGAGGCTTCCTCTCCTCTTATCCAAACAGTTGTGCCTGATACACATCCCGTTCCCACCCAGCGCCAAGGTTTGGTCTCAGGAGAAAGGTCCTAGAGGGGACCCATCACGGAGAAGGGGTTGATGTTCAGGGCTGACAATGGGAATTCATTGAAATTCAGGCCCCCTGAATCTTCTCACCTCACAAGCATCTACCCAAGGAAATTCTTCTCTGAAAAAAAATAATTGCAGAGGAGGAGACCTCCAAAAGTCCCCACTCAAAGAGCCATGTCACCATCCTGGCCCCAGCAATGCAGTCCAACGTCGCCAACACTCCAAGCGTCTTTCTGGGCCTCCCCGTCTTAGATCCGAGCAGAACTAAGGTTCCCTGGCGTACAGCTCAGGAGGCCACCCCCACTGCCATGCCCAGCGGTCCTGAGGAAGGTCTCCGATGAGACCGAGACTAATGCCAACAAATGGGACAGAGGAACACTTCCGGGGGGGGGGGGGGGGCAGGCGGGCAGGAGAGCAGACTAACATCCTCAGAGACCAAAAGAACTATTTCATCCTTAAAATAAGAACAGGGGCTAAGAAAAAGCAACAGAACACAAAAGAACCCTTAGTAATGGCAACCGCAGTTCCTGATGCCTCTGTGCCCGCCCCCCTCCCGCGTGCACTCGGCAAGCTCGGAGGACAGACCAAGGGGCTGCCGGCCCTCAGCTGCTGAGTAAAAGAACAGAGCATCCTGCTGTACTCTGTAAGTACAGCTCTACCTCTCTTGCGGGATCATAAATGAGCACAGAGGCTCATAAAGCTTCGCTTCCATAGCAGAAGCAGATGTTCAAAAAAGACTGGCCAAATGGGCATAAAATGTCATTTCCTTCTATTTCTGATGAATTTGTCTAGCCCTAGTCCTAGCTCCTGCCGACATGGAAAGATGTAAAGAAGGAGTAGTTATTAGCTTAATATTCAATTCCCTCTGCAAATCTCTAAACATTGTTCACTATTACCTAATTTCCTTGCCTTCTCTCTCATTTTCCAGGCCATTTTAGCATATGATAAAAGCATTTCCAGCAACCAGAAAATCTAATGAACATTTGACTTAGGGCAAGATTCCTGAGGAACACAGAGGATAAGCAGCCCCAGGCTAGTACATTCCATCCTGGTGCCCCGGTTTCCTAATCACGCTCCTACAAGTTTAGTATGAAGAGTTCATCATTGGTCGGGGGCGGGGGGAGGAACCTGAAACCTTCCCCTCACTTTTGTGCTTTGCTGTCGCAGGTGGAAGAGCTGAGACTCTTGAGACTCAACAAGCCCTAGTCACTTGTGCAGAAGAGAGGAGTCGAACCAGGCTTCCTGCTTCCGTGTTTGCTGGTCTTCCCACTGCACCGGGCCCACGGGGGCCGAGTCTGGCAGGGGCAGGCCTGAAACTGGACTTCTGGAACTGCCAGGCTGGGGAGCAGACCCCAGCTCCGGGGGGGGGGGGGGGGGGGGGGGGCAGCTTGGCCACCCCCCACATGTGACACTGGGAAGAGAGCTAGTAAGTCACCAACCACTGACTCAGCCACTTCGAGAGACAAACAATACCTGGATCAGGGCGCCTGGGTGGCTCAGTTGGTTAAGCGACTGCCTTCGGCTCAGGTCATGATCCTGGAGTCCCGGGATCGAGTCCCGCATCGGGCTCCCTGCTCGGCAGGGAGTCTGCTTCTCCCTCTGACCCTCCCCCCTCTCATGTGCTCGCTCTCATTCTCTCTCTCTCAAATAAATAAATAAAATCTTTAAAAAAAAACCCAAAACAAAACAATACCTGGATCAGAGAGAACTTCTTTAGCAGCTGCTATGTCAATGAACTTTTTCTCCGCTTTTTTCTTTTCTTCTTCATTCTGGAAGTTATCTGGGTGCCACTGCAGTGCTAGTTTTCGGTATGCTTTAATGATTTCTTGCTTTTTGGCGTTTCTGAGCAGTATTAAAATTAACGCTCATTAGTCAAAAAGTGCCCGACATACCACCCCCAAAAACTGAGAGACAGTTATGATCCCCCTGGCAAATCAGCAGCCTGGTTTTCCTAACCGTGCCAATGTTGTCCGGTTCTAGGTGATCATTAAAGCTGGTCAGCTTTCAGAATCTCAATGGGAAGAAATTACTTTTGATCTTTGTGATCTTTTTCTCTTTTTAAAAAAAAAGAGAAAGCTGCACAGACCCATTTTTAAACTTTCTGGATTTCCAAACTACCTGATACAATTCTTGGCATTAAGAGCTAACTCTGACTCTGAACCACACTTCCTGTTTTGCTTCTGGTTAGCTTCCTTAGTTCTGGTTCAGACTTTTGATTGAAAGACGGATGGTTCCCTTGCTCAGGGAAGGTGGATCTTGTATAATTTACCCAGCTTTTGTCTTATCTCAGTGCCTATAAGTTAATTCTCAAAGTGCCACTTTATAATTCAGCCTAGAGAAGTTTGCTTTTCCAAAACCCTCCTGTCCCCACCAAAAGAAAGCTCACTCCTCTTTACCCTTCCCAAAAAATCTGGGCTAGGGCCTACTCATGCTACATTGTCATCCCTCTGTCACCAACTACTTACTCCCCCATCGTTTCAGAACTAGTCTAAAGAAATCTACCTGTAACAAAATGATGGTTACGATGTGAAAGATGCTTAGGTTTAATCCTGGACTGAAATTACATAAAGCAAGGAACCGAATCAGAGGAGAAAAAAGAAGCTTTAAAACAGTTGATTAAAAATAACAATGTAAATTTTAAATAACTCACCTTTTTACTCCTAAGATTTTATAATAATCTCGTTTCTGCGACTGTTTCAATAGCCTCTGTGCCTTCTCTAGACCTTCCCGAATCTGCTGATCATTTTCATTGTGTTCCTGCGCAGTTTCATAATCCTGAATAGCTGTCAAAATGTTGAAGATAATGCTGTTAAAGGAACGGGAATTTATAAACTCTACTTATCCTGTAAGATTGATACTCAAGTCACCATCTCAGCCCCTTCACTCTTTTGCCATTATTGCTAAGAGCCTAAGAGGGACGGTGATGATTTTGTTAGCCAACTTACAAAAGGCCTAATGAAGGCTGAATTTAGGTAGCTTTTTACTCCCATTCAATAAAACTCACTGCTGTTTACTCGCCCATCTTCCCACCGCCACACCTTCATATCCGTACTTTATACAAAGCAGTCTTTCCATCACTACGACTGAACTGATCGTTACATAGGAAAATAAGACCGTGGCAAAGAAAATCTGCATGGTCAGCTACAGGTCCACAATTCAGAAGAATCAGAGGCTTAGAAAGGGAGCAAGAAGAACCATCAGCAATCAGAATGTCTAAGTCATCTAGGGGTTTCAAAAGGAACTATTACAAACCTACTGTTTTTAAGCTATCGATCAAAGCAGATGACATTGTCCTGATATGGGAAGTCTGGTAACAATCCGTATTACAGTTTTTGCCTTATTTTAGAATACTATCTAGAACACAAGGCATCAGGATATCTAAGTCATGTAGAAAAGAGTCAACGTAGCAAGCCTGAGACTGTTACCCTTAGAAAGGCCTCCTGGCAAGGTTGGTCCTGGCTGGCAGATCAGAAGACGGCCTTCAGGAGCGTTCCCACCATTTCCTGGCAAGAATGGCTCACTGTGCCTCAATGTTTGTACAGACAATGTGGTTTACGTTACACATCGTCTGTCTTTCTGGGAATCTGAGTGCTGGCAGGGCAGAAGGTGCCTGGCTGACCAACCCCTCATGAATGCCCCGGACACGGGTGCTCTAGCAGGCTTCCCCAGCAGACAGCACCTTGCACGTCTTAAGGAATTACAGCTTGTCCTATGATTTCAAAGAGAAAGACTCTTGGAATCTTCTACCTGCTTTTCTCTGGATTTTGTGCCATGTGTCTTTTCCCTTTGCTGATGTTACTGTATCCTTTCAGTAGAATAAATCTTAGCCTGGGTACAACTGTGTGCCGAGTCCCATGTGTCCTCCTACTGAATCACCAAATCTGGGAGTGGTCTTGAGAAGCAGACATCTCAAATAAGGAACTGTTGGATTCAAATTCTAGTTTTTAGGGAAGTGCATTTCACCGTGGGAAAAAACATCTCTCTGGACAACAGGTCTGAGGATTTGTCTTGGCAACAGCTAATCCTAGACGACTTTCAGGAAGGCCCATGATCCTTCTGGCATACTGCTGGAAGGTCACTAGCAGCCTAATGCCATGTCACGATGCGTAGGTCATTCCTTCACTTTATCTCATCACGCAGACATCAGCCATTTTATTTCCCATCATCACAAGAACAAGGATGAATATAGGACAATAAGATAATTTTGAGAGACCACTTTCCCATAACTTTTACTACAGTAGTATACTGTAATTGTTCTAGTATTATTAATCTCTTACTATGTCTAATTTATAAGTTTAAGTTTATCATGGGTATATGTATGTATAAGAAAAAATAGTATATATCAGGATGGATATGATTGGCAGTTTCAGGCATCCACTGGGGGTCTGGGAAGGTATCCCCTGCAGATAAGGGAGAATGACTGAATTAACCTGCACTAGAGAGAAAAATGAACCAACACTACCTCTGGTCCCAGGAGGCGGGGGGGGGGGGTGAGTAGTACATTTTATGCTTTTATCTTAATTCCTGCCTCAATGCATTAATATTAAATATTAATATGAAACTACTACAGTCACCCAACCCACAGTGACAACATAAAATACCTTTCCAATTTAGTACACAAAACTATCATAGTAGTGAGGTTTAAATTATCACAACCTAGTAAGGAAATGTACTTTGAAGGAATGTAATACAAGGGGAAAATATTTCAATACATGCAATTTTGCTATTTATGCAAACTCTACATTTAAAACATGTTTTTCATTCTTAAACGTTTAGAGTATCTCCCCCAAAGCGGTCTTCTACATCCTACCCTTTTATTAAAATTTAAGGTAGACACATTTTTCCCAATCCAGAAAAAATACAAAATTATAGGTTGTTTCCTACATTCATATCATTACAGGTAGGTAATTTAATTAGAAATTTAATATGGGTGGTGTTAAAACTTCCCATAGACATAAACTAGATAGATCATTTTTAATTATATTTTCTCAGATTCTACATTCTAAGGAGTCATCTTTAAAGAAAAAGTAAATAACATCCAATTATGTTTATCCTATACCATAATTAAGCATCCACGAAAAGTAGAATAAGTCAGAAACATTAAGGCCCTGAAAAAAAATCTATTACATATTAGCCAATTCATTTTCTATCCTCTGAGCCTAAGAAAAACTTTTTCTTCCATATTCCCCCCACTCAGTTCTGAAGGGACAATGCAAACAAGGGAAGCGTACGAGTGTGCCTCCCTTCCACCCCACTCCCCCACCGAAAGGACAAAATACTACTACTACTACTACTAATAATAACAGAACTGTGGCAGCACTGAAAACAGCAGACCAGAAATTTTCTTAAATTTCTGAAAGAGAGGAAGCAAATGGGATCCTATTAATAATGAATAAACCTAAGTATCCAAGTAGAAGCCCTAGCAGATTTGGGAGCCATTCTTTTTGGCCAAGGATCCTCAGTTTAGCATTTAGCAGGAGCAGCTTAAAGGCAACCACCGGCATAGTCTGTGGATGACTAAAGCCTCCCCTTGGGTGTGAAGCTTCTACAGCACCCGCCCCCCAGGGGGCCCAAGAACCAGAGTCTAGACTGAATCACTGCTGTGCATGCGGAGGGGCCGCGGATGTGGCTGCTGGGACCAGGAAGAGCTGCAGAACCAAGCCCACGGGCACTCGAGATCTCCACAACAGATCTGGAACAAACCAAGGAAAAGCAGTTCCACCCAGAATTTAAATACACCAAAGGACCCCAGCAGATAAGTAAGGTAAGGAGCTGCTCACTTTGGCAACTGGGCAAGATGGCAAGGCCCACAGGGGAAGTCTCCCCGTGAAGCAGTCCTACCCACGGAGACCCTGCCCGCAGCTCCCCATGGCAGAAGCAGCATTTGAAAGACAGGTGTGCATGGCTGCAAATGACTGGCCTCCTTCAGTCCACAGTCCATTAGCAAATCCCGCATCAGCTGTCCTTCAAAACAGATCCAGAATCGCACTGCTTCTCACCACTTCCCCGATCACCACTGCGCTGCAGTCCATCATTAACACACCTGAACAGCTCTTCCCAGCTTCCGTCCTTATTCCCCTCAGAGTCTGTTCTCAGTACAGGGCCTTGGAGAGCCTTTTAAAGAGCACATCAGACCCTAATATAAATATGCCCACGCAACACTCATCTTCTCGTCCAGAATATCATGCAGAACAAACTGCGCCAGGCCCGCTAAAATGAGCTAGTATCAGCCATGAATCCAAGATGAGAGGGGGAAGCAAATACTGAGAAAGCCCAATGGCAAAAAATCACAGAAAATGCCAGCAAAATACACTTTCTGGGTGTATGCGCTCACCCCGGAGTGACAACCTCTATCCTTTGCATATTACGAGAACCATGAAATCCAGAGCCAGAGAGTGAAGATAAAGCAGAGGCCTTACTGGGGAAAAGAGAGGGGGGAACAAAGAGAAGAGCAAATCGCCTTGGGCAGTACATCTCAGGAACCCCCAGCAACCATGTGCTCTGTGAAGGTGAGGGGCTCACCCTCAAGTGCAAAAGATCTACCCCTTTGGTGTAGCAAAGGAAGTGGGCAGACGAGCAGCCGGGCTGGCAGCAGATGACCTCCTGGCCATGGTCTGGGTTCAGAGAAGCAGAGAGGGCAGGGCCATGGAGAAAGGCCCTCTTAGCAGGAGGCAGAACGTCTGTGGAAACAGTGAAGCAGAGAGTACCGCAACTGTTAAATACAGAAGGCTGCCCTGGGCCTGGCACTCCCTTACACACGCACACGCGTGCACACACACACACACACACACAGCCAAGGCACTTTCCCACAAATAGGGCAGGATAAGTCAAGTCATTCTATGATCATTTTTTTTAAATGGTACAGCAGCAATTCAAAGCCAGTTTTTAAACTGAAACAGGAAAAGAGCACCTAAACTTACCTGATTAACATTCATCAGAACAATAGCCAAATACATGAAAATTCTGAGCAGACATTATGGCATGAATTTTTAAAAAATCCAATCACCTCTTTTAAGGGTACTCACAAAGCAGAATAAGAACTCAGCAAAGAGACAAAGAGGAGATAAAAACGTGAGTAGTCAATACTCAAAAAGAAGACCAAAACGATCACAGAAGCACAGATGAAATGAGAAGGAGCCCAGGAAGCAGAAGCATATGGGAAAAAAAGAAGGCCCTAACGAAATGGAAATAAAGAGTTTAAAGCGCCTAGAGAAAAAAATGGCAGCTTGATAGAACAATCGGCTGCGAAAGCGAGCGCCCAAACCGTGTAAGTTCTTCCAACCAGCGGCGCTTGAAGCCTGGGGCTGTAGGGCTCGGTGTGCCGGGCTCCGGGAGCGCCGAGGAAGCACCGAGGGACACGGCGCTGCGCCCAGAGAACTGGCAGGGCAAGCCGGCCGCTGCCCGGCTGAAGACACCTGGGGCACACAGCCGGTGGCTTGCTCGCTCATTTCAGAGTGTGTCCCAGAGAGGCTGTGTTCCCGGAGAGACCCCTCGGGGCACAAAGGCGCTGGTGGCCCGGGCCCTCTCCCTGCCCCGTGATTCAGCAGAAGTACAGAGCCACTGGCAGGAACCCGGCCGCGCCAACACTCGCCACCTAACGTGCGTATACCAGGTCCCCCCAACACCGTGGGCCAGAAGAAGCACCCATGCTAGGCACGCCTGCCTCTGTCCCAGTAGGGTGGGCAGCCTCCCCGAGACCCCACAAACTCCTACCAGCATTGCATCTCCCCCTCTGGGAGTCGTGCGCCTCGAGGCCTTGGTCCCAACGGGAACAGGTCACATT